CCGACGAAGAGGAGAACATGACGTGTGCGGAGAATCCATCTTTGCCGTGGGATTGCGAAACAACAGCGAAGTCGGCAAGATTGAGAATGCACCTCACACCGGGACAGGAAGATGCCTCCACGATAAGATCGAAGGCTATACCCCGATGTGAACGAGAACGATCACTACGAAGGGTATTCCAACCCGTCCTATGCTTGCATCGCTGACGACGTAGATTGTGGACTGTTGGAGCAGATTCCAGACCGAGGTTGCCATTTCTGTCATCCTGATTGGAGACAAGCAGGCCTTGTCCTCCTGTTGTCGATCTTGATGGTGATCGCAAATGGTTTGCAGAACAAGCTGTGCGGAACATCCAGAAGGATATGAGACACTTCCTCGGAAGGAACGCCAGCTTCAAGATTGGACAGTCAGATGTCCCAATCATTCGATGCGATGATGGTGCATGGGTCAGACTGGACTACGAAGGTTGAATTGCGAGCCACTGAACAGGTACCGCACGAGGGATGAGAGAAGGCAAGAACTGTGCAGACGATTACAAATGCTCTTCGACGGCAACAACACCATTCACGTTCGCAAGAGACGAGTACACCTTCAGTTCTTGGCGATCCGATTGGGTGATCCGCCACCTCACACGTCTATCGCCGATGACATACAGGCCTTCGATAGTCGAATGGTCACATTGTCCGTGCAACGACATGAACTTCGATTGTTTCCAGCTACCCGGAACCTCAGTGACGATGACATCATACTTTGCGACGGCATCATGGAAGAAGGCATAGAAGCTGGCAGGGATCTCATGGAGAACCGCCAGGCTTCAGGCAGACTACACAGTCACTGGGAGTGTTTGCGCCATGGGACGTAAGGAATGAGGTGACAAGGGTGAGATCGAGTGTCAACAAATCTTTGCCTCTCGCCGTACTCTATGGCTCGATCATCGACATCGGCAGAGCAGGAGGAAGATCACAGAGCGGTGTCATCGTCTGCAGCAATCCCATCCCTTTCCGATTCGTGAAAGAAGTCTGGCTTTGCGCGCTGCATGATCGGCACAGATACAAGTTTGATCTTGTGGAGAAGATCTTGGACTATGAGTTGGAGGATGAGATTTGCACCAAGTACAGCCCATCTCCGATTGCAAAGGAGTTTGCTCCTTACAGAACAATCGACTATGGAATTGCTGTGCGAGATGCCGAACGGTCCACACGACGCGACCAAAGAAGAATGCGTGGCAAGACTCGGAGACTGTACATTGGCGCAACGCTGATTGGCAACGCTACGACAGGCTCTACGAGGACGCCGTCAGGTTCATCATCAAACACACGAAGCCAATGGAACATGCGAGGAATCGCCGAGATCATGAACTCCGATGCCGTCTTGCAACAGACACCTTCGTGTTTGTCACGATGTGTCACGTGCTTCACCGACTTGTTCTCCATTGGAAAGTTCCACCGAACCGTGCGCCAGGAGGACGCTCCTTTGGAGGTCCCCAGCGAGGTGATCAATCGCTCCATTGAACAGGCAGAGATGGCTGCGAACAATGATCCACTGGATGAGGATGACCGGCAGACCGTTGCTGAACCCGAACAGGATATGGGAGCGGAAGCCACCGATCATGCCCAAGATGCTCCGGAGCCAGCGCCAGAAGATCCTGAGCCAGCACCAGAAACGGACAACGAGGACGAAGAGGAGCCTCCGGTGCTGATTGGAGACGCTGGGTGTTACATTGACCAGGATCTAGAGCACGCAAGGGCCAATATGCAGGTCCCCATCTACATCCAGATGCACGGTGGACCCGAACCTGCTCTTGGCACGCTACATGGCGTCTACCATTTGCAGCTACATCCACAAGAATTGGAGAGCAAATATGAAATGGTTGGAAATTCCGTTGCAAACTATGCGCCAAATGTTCGAATTCGGGACATCGATATGACGCTCTCGGAAAATGGGGCCCAGCCCAGCTCTTTCTGAAGTCGACCCTGACACACTTATCTCGCGAGATGTACTTGACGATGAGGTCCTTGCCTGGGGTGAAAGTCAACACCAATATCAGGACCCGACTGGAGAGTATCTTCTTCGCAAGTTCCGGACCAATCAACTTATATCCAAGATCATGAGAGGAGCCGCGCAACTGGGATATGAAAGGGCCCAATTCAACCCTGCTACCCATATGCGCGAAGGACAAACTGTCGATGCACCGCAGATGCACTCGAGCTGTTATTCATTGTTGCAGAAGATCATTGGCAAAGTTACAGGGTACAACGCTTTCACAATGATGCGACCGAGTACCAGCCAGATTCCGGACCATGTGCTTTGCATTGACCCTTGTGGTATTGCACAGATGATGGGTTCCAAGCACATACCAATGGCATTGCTTTCCCTTTTGATCGACAGCGGCATTCAATTACCGTCCACCTTCCGTACGCGCATGATTGCAAGTCGTCAACAAGCTCACACCGCCAGAAATCCAGCTGCATTGACTCACTTGCCCGCGAACATTCCGGAGCTGCCGCAGAGGAATATGGATACACCTGTTACGACTGAAGAAGCCGCGGAGTTGGAAGCAGCTCGACGCCGCCGACAGAGCAAGACGACAACGTGAAGAGACCACAACAAGGTCAAATCGATCGATGGCAACGCAATCAACGTGCCTACGACAATCGTTCGGCAGAGTCATCATCAGGGTACCGTAACACCCGGGACTATCCTGATGACAACGATCGCTGGCACTATTGATCGACTACCTGCACATCGTCGTCTGCGTCGATTACATCCTTGCCATGTGGACACAACTCATTGCGCCACATGTCGCGCATATTTCTTTGAGTGCTTCCTTTCACTTTTCACCGAAGCCGGGGATCGCATCCAACGTAGTTGTGTCTCACGCAGCGCTTGATTGGGCAGCTCTGCACGCAACAGGCAAACACTCGCCGTTGAGATTTCTTTCTTCTCAGGTCCCACTACTCTCTTCTTTTCGTGAGTAAAGCTGGAAGCTTCACTCATGGGGGGTGTGAAGAGACCTCGATGCCTAGTGCAATATTGGCAATCATCACATGGACTGCCTTACGCATCCATGTTGACCTGCTATGAGACGCATGTAACAGTACACCAAAGACGTGGTGATCAGCCTTGGGCTATCCCATGATCTATCGTACTCCGGCGAATGTTTGGCTCAAGTCAAAGGTCAAACCGAAGCCACGAGCTCAAAGAGCACGAGGCGGAGGATCACGGTAGAAAGCATCTTTCTTTCTCTTGTTTCCAGACATCAGCAATTGCGTGTATTGCCCCCTTGCACAGACACTTCAGCTGCATCGCGAGGACGCGGAAAAGAGACCTGAAGTTGCCTGCTTGGGTTACGTTGTCTAGTGCTTGGTAGAAGGCAACCACGACTACAACACGAAGCTCGGTGAGGTGAGCAATCATACAGTCATACAATATATCAAGACCAAACCCTCACGCACAAGCCCAATTCCTCCCAATGCGGGACACGGAATTCACAACCGGCCAGTGCCTCACTGGGCTCAAAAAGGGGGTTTGTTTGAAATCTTTTACATGGTGCTACTTTGGTGTTTGTATAAGGGTTTCGCAGTGCCTTATGGCAGGTTGTAAGGCTTTGTGACGGTTTGTGGAGTTTTTATGATGCGGGAGAATCATCAGCACGATGCTGAATTAAGTTTTGTGGTCTCAGTTCCGTCATCAGCAGCGTTAGTGGTATCTCTCGGCCCAAGTGAGGAAGCCGTGATGTTGTACTCGCTTCCCCCGGCCTGACCATACAGAAAGGTTGGTCTCTAAAAAGTGCTTGGGCAGCGGTTCCTTCCTGCGCCTCCATGCTCAATGCTGGATGCCTGTCGTTGCGCGATCTTGCTGCTTGTCATAGCTTGAATTGAGTTACTATTGATATGAGCTGCAAGATACATTTCAGATAGGGTCTTTTAGACCGCGATTTACTCTTGCGAGTGACTGATTTTCATATCATAAATTCCTATCAAATATTCTTCCGCAACAAATATCTACATTTGGAAACATATTTGATTTGACTCGACGACAGGCGAGTTTGCAATTGCAAACATCGCATGTCATAAAGAAGTCTTACATGTCAAAGTCCCGTAGCCATTTTGGCTCAAGTCTCGCGTGCTTGGAGAAACCTCTTTTGAGCCCCTGGGCCTGTAATCGTAACTGCTCCGAGGCTCGACAACCTTCCGACGTTTCTAGTTCGTTTAGTGCCCATGGACTGCTCTGGGACACAGGGTAACCCAGGATAAACAAACCCTGACGGTTGCGTGTTGCGGGCAGCCGCGGCGCCTCACTAGGCCGCCGCTGCGCCAGCATGTGTAGATCCGACACGCCTCGACGGTCGTGCGCTCCTGCAGCAGCCCCGTCTGACACCCCCGCGGCACCAGGCGGCAGTTCACCCCTGCTGCCTGGAGCGTCAAGTGTGCGACATGCGCATGGTGTCGTCAACAGTCCTCCCGACGGCGAGTTTACGGCCGCCGTCCTTCAAGCGCCTCCGTCAGCTGCCGGGGATGGCGCGCGTGCTTTTGCTTCCGAGCAGGGACTGTCGCCACACCTCGAACCCCTTCCCTCCCTGAGCCGGATACACCAAGTGCCGCCTCCTGCCGAGGCTGCCGGCCCCCCAAACGGTAGCGTGCTGCGTTCACCAGACCAGGGCAGCACCCACACACATGTTCCAGACATGCCCCACACACCCCCCTCGGTTACACCAGACCGCGGCCAGCTTGCACCTGCGTCACCGTTGTCAGTCAGCTCTGCTTCGCCGGTGGCGGGAGACGTCAGCCCACCAGCCCCTCACAGCAACAACTTGGAGCATTGCTGCGTGTGCCTTGAGCGCCTCCTTCCGGCTGCCCAGGGACGCTGCCGGGCCTGCCAGTGCTTTCTGGCTATCGCGAGGCCCGCCACTCGGCGAGGTGAGGGATATAGTACCAACTTTTGGCTTTACGTGCCACTACTGCATGCTGCCGCGGCGGACCTAGCATCCCCAGCGCTCGATGACTGCCCCTCGCACAGCCAGCTGGTGGGAACATGCACGCCAACTCCTTGCAGATTCCGCGCCGGTCACCCCACAGCTCCTCGTTGCCGCCCTCGCCCACGCTGCCGAGACGGCACCAGCGTATGCACACCACATGCCCGACCTCACCGCGCGTATCAGCAATGCCGGGCTCCCCAACGGCTCTTGTGTGCACGTTGGTTGGGCCGTGCGGCAATTGCGAGAGCCGGATGGTTACCTTTTATCGCCGGTGCAACAAGCCCTTTTGGTGTGCTTCGGCGGCCTCTCGCTGGTCTTTGAGGTCGACCGCCATTCCGACCAGTTCCGACCGGCCCCCGCACCGGCTCCCCTGCCACCTCCAGCGGCTGCACCACCGGCGCCTGTCCCCTCCCCACAAGCTGCCGGAAATATGCCGGATGAGCCATTACAGGAGGCAGCCGAGGAATTGGACGACCCTGTCCTCGCGGCCGCCGCGAAGCGAGTGCAGGAACGTGTTGTGTTCCGAGGCGCCGGGCGAGGTCGCCGGGGACGTTGACGCGGACGACGGAGCCTCGCTGCCCCCGAAGCGGCTGATCCTGCAGTTGAGCCCACAACAGCACCCGAGCCTTTCCCAACCCGCGCGATTCCAGGCACGCGGCGGGAACGTGCGCATGCCATTTGCGCGAAGGCCTGGCCTCCCTGGACTCTATCTGCCTGCAGACAGCTTGCCGGGTGCGCGCGCTCACGCTGCAATCACCCCCCTCGCGTGCCCGTGGAGCCTTGCGCACCGCGCTACGTGCAGGCCTGCGGCTCGCCGTGCACCCTACCTGCCCTGAAGACGAGGTGCGCGGCTGGAAGCTCTTTATGCTCGCACCCCGTATGCTCCTTCTTACCGTTCCCCCTGCGAAGCTCGCGTGCCACCGGCTGAGCTTGACCGAGGCATCGAAGCTATCCGAGCCGGACGCTGGAGTGACCTTCGGCCGCAGCTGCCGCTGCCCCTAGCGCGCAGCGCGGCGATCCAGCCAGCGATGGCGCGCGAGCACACCGTGCCGTTGCACTCGTCCACCTGGGTGAGCTCTCCGCCGCAGCTCGCGCGCTCACCTCCGAGCCGTTGGCCCCTGGGAATAGCGACACTCTCGCAGAACTGCGTGACCCCGAGCATCGCCCCCCGGCATCCTACGCGCCTTTGCCCGACGCCACGCTCCGCCACGTCCCGGACCGCCCCTGTCCGCTCCCACTACAAGCTTTTCTTCACTGTGTGCGGAGTGCCCGGCGTGGCTCCGCGGCTGGGCCTTCAGGGGGCACGAACGAGCATGTCCGCATCCTTCTCGACGATGAAGAGGACTGCTGCATGTTGCCGCGCTCCGGCTGGCGCAAGCCCAGATCCCCGTTGACATCCTGGACGGCCTGCGCGTTGGACGATTGGTCGCCCTGCATAAGCCTAATGGTCGGGTGCGAGCGCTTGTCGTCGGCGACGTGCTGCGCCGACTCGTCGGGCGCGCCTTAGCCCAACACCTCGCGCCCCAGTTCCAAGCTGCTTGCATGCCACACCAATTCGGACTCAGCACCCGTGTTGGCACCGAAGCTGTCAATCGCTTGCTCCGCGCAGCAACCGAAGCCAACCCCCGCCACCATCCTTTCAGTTGATGCCGTCGGCGCCTTCGACCATGTTGCTAGGGGGGCCATCTTGGATGCCTTGCTGACTATAACCCGGAGCTCCAGCCCCTTTTGCCCTACTCCCGGCAGTTCTACGCGAGCCCCAGCACATACACGTGGTACGACGACCATGGGGTCGCCCACGACGTCCACCAAGGTGAAGGCGGCGAACAGGGGGACCCGCTCATGCCGGCTTTCTACGCGTTGGCCCAGCACACCGCGTCGAATGATCTGCAGGGCTTGCTTCAAGATGGGGAGGCCGTCTTCGCGTTCCTTGACGACGACGTGTACATCGTCGCCCTGCCCCCACGCGTGCGGGAACTTTACGATGCCCTCGCAGCCAAGCTTTGGGACCGCGCTCGGATTTGTCTGCGCGAGGGCAAAACCAGGATCTGGAATGCGGCAGGCGAGGAACCACCCAACATCGCTGACCTCGCCCGGGAGTCCGGTGAACCCGTCTGGGTCGGGGATTGGTCCATCTCCCCGCAGCGGGTCCCCGCTCGGGCACGACGCTTTCGTCGCCCGCCATCTTGGCCTTCAGCGTGAGGAACACTACCGATTGCTGCGCCGCATCCCGTTGTTCGAGGACCTGCAGGCAGCATGGCTTCCGCTGCAGGCCTGCGCCGCCCCGCGCGGCAACTATCTGCTTCGCATTTTGCCCCTGCACCTTTCGGCAGATTACGCCGCAGCGCATGATGCGGCGGTCGCCCGGTGCTTGGCTGCGCTGCTCGAGCACGGTGATGCGCCGCTGCCTCCGGCCGGGCTTCGCGTTGC